GCACATCAAACTTAGGACACATAAGGCTTCTTTCATAAACATTTCTTTACAGTGGGAATTGTGTCAGTGGCCCACAATAATGGGAAAATAACTTGTGATTAACTATTTGCTATTTGAGTACTTTGACTTTTTTGCCAAATAAATTATACTGTAGAACAAGGCTTTTAAGCTTTTCCAGCACAGAGTGCTGCAGAACAAACCATAGGGCAGGAAACCCTCATGCACCACCTCACACACCTCTGAGTAAGAAGAACCAAGACTGGTATGTGCAAAGGATCTTGGACAGAAAACATCCAGATGGTATTTTTGCAGCATTCCTCTATGTGAAAGCTGAACAAGACTAATGGAGCAGTACAGTTTTACTCTGCGATAAATTACTGTTGTTTGCTATGCAAATCTTATGATTGTAATTAGTCTAGGATTTGGACTGTTATGTACACTGATCTTTGCTCCCTCTGCTCATGGGAGCTAATTCTAATGCTGCAAAACAGCACAGCAAATGTCAAGTGCTGCTCAGACGCCGATCGTTTCTTGCTCAAAGTGGACGTTCTAGAAGGAATGATTTACCTCTGCCTTCACAGGGAACGTAATTGTACCGCAGGCATCTTGTGGGCCACTGAAGTGTTCAGGTACTGTAAAGTCTCTCTTGAAAATAGAGGTTGGAGAAAACACAGGAAGGACGTCCTGATAGGCATCTAATTTTTAGCAAACTGGTTTTAAAAAGTGATGTTCTGCTGCTGATTGGTTAAGGAGCTGGTGGCATGTCTGAGCTATCATGACAGTGTTTGTAGTTCCTAGTATGGTTATGTATAGCTCCTGTTATCTCTGCAGCAGACTCTGTGTAACCGCAGCCTGTGGCTCCTTGCCCACGCTAATGAGCTCTCCCCGAGGCCGGGCTTGTGCCTGTGGGGGTGGCACAGTACTCGACAGTGCTGCTGTTTTGGAAACCAGTTTGTTGACTGTGCTCAAGTCCAGCTTGCCCAAGCTACTGTGCCAGCTTGGCTACTGTTGGCTGCGGGAGCTTGTCCCTGTGCAGCGTGGCTGGCCCCAGAGCTGTCTGGAGGGCGAGGCAGGCTGGTCACTGAGGCTGCCAGGCTGTATAGTCTGAAGCAAAGGAGAACTGTCAGCTAGACCTGGACTGGGGGGAAGAACCAGCATGGTGAGGACGGTACAGGTGAGCCACATTCGCAGCCCATTCACCTCCTTGGGAACATGGCTACCACCGTTCGGTCAGCTCATGTGGTCGGAGTGCATCCTGTAGGCAGTGGGTCTCACTTTTCTGATGACCCAAAGAGCCAGGGAAAGCCGTGGCTGCTGCCAACCATGCCTCTCAATATCTGGGAGAAGTGGGAGCAGATTCAGGCGCAGGGATACCAGGCTTGGGGTGTACAGATATGCCCTTCTGTTAGCCCCTCCAGAGGCAGTTTGTAGGGGGTGAGCACCTTGTCCTTGTGATTAAGGTGGTGGCTGCACACCTGCAACCTGGTCAGAGTCTGCACCTGCACCCATGCCAGGCTCTTCTGCATGCCTGTCTCCCCCCTGCTGCAGTGAAGTTCAGCAAAGTAAAAATCTTAACAGCTACAAGATTTGTTAGCTTGTGTAGTTGTATCTCTAGATAGATAAAAAAGCATGATTTGGAAGTTTTTCCGAATCACTGCAAAGACAGAGAAAGAATGAAGAAATACCCTCTAGGGGACAATATAGCACTGTTGTTCTAAAGGTATAGTAAATGACACGATATGTTTTTTAACAGCTTGTAACTCCTGTGAATCTCATTTATTTCTTTTTGCTCCCTACTCATCTAAATCACAGCAAAGCAGAGGAATGGTGGCAGTTTTACTTTTTCTTGCATGCTTGCACATGACCTCGAGCCCATTAATTTTGTTTGTGTAAATACAGTTTAAGGGAGCAAGGAAACTGCAAAAGCATTGAGGTACTAAAGTGCCCAACAAAAAGCAGAAGAAATCTTCTTCACAGAAAATGATTTTTCTAACCAAGTGTATTTCATTTCTAGTGCTAATACAACAAAGTGTGTGTTGTTTCCATGGCTGGATGCTCGATATTTCAAAACAGAGTGAGTTCTGAGGCTGTTGTTGAAAAAATGCAGTTTACTTAATTAGCCAAGGTAAAAAGGGGTATAAAATCTGTATAAGCTTTGCAAACCGGTGCTGTGCTGCAGCTACATATACATTCCTTCACCAATGGCATCAGTAATTTAGCACTGATATACAAAGGATCATGACTTGATCTGTAGTTATCTCTGAGGAAGATTGTGAACTTGACCGTTTTGCACTGTTAGTTTTGGGGAGAGAAATTACGAAGATCCCTGTTCCCCAGGGATTATTCTGTTTGCAGTGCTCCAGTCCTGTGGTTCTGGTACACCTGGCAATTTTTAGAGCACTATAAATTCTGAGTCAGGGTACTAACATGTTGGTGTGGAGTCAGAAATACTGTTCAGTGAATGTAATACCAGTATGCCTCTTAAATAACTTAAGTAATCTAGTTATCTTCAGGTCCCATGTAAAAAAAAAACATAGAAAATCTTAGAACAAGCCTTGGGCAGCTCTGGATATTTCAAGGCAGCGTGCAGCTATGCCAGGTCCCAAGGTGCTTAAAAGCACTTCCAGCTCTGCAGCAAATTTCATTCAGGACTTTGTCATGCTGCTTAGGTGTGCTACCTGGGGAGCCATCTGTGGGGCTGCTAAGCTCAGTGGCATGCTCAACACCTCTTCTGATGCAAAGCAGTCCCTGATTTTAGAGGAGTGCCTCCCCAGTACCCACCTGTGTGAATCATTTCAGACCTTATGTCTTGGATCTGGAGGACTAAGGGTAATGGAGGACAATTAGCTAATGAATTACTGCTGAGTTTGGAGGCCGATTCAAAGAATACCCTTTTCCCCTGCTTTCCTTTTCCCGCCTGCCTGTGAGCTGCCCACCCTGGGGCCTCTGCGGTGGGCACTGCCCCGGGGAGGCTGAGAGGTTTGCTCAGGAGCTTGGTAGTGATGAATCACAGAGGTATGGCATGGATTGATAAGGTCGTGTACTTTACGATTAGACACATCCTTCCTCCAACAGCAGTTCTTTGTCTCCATTTTGCTTTTGGTAATGTGTTTTGGCAGTTTGCATACAATGACTCTCCAAGCAGGAGCTGTTTGACTTGAGACAAAGTTACTATTATTCTAGGTAAGCTCAGGAAGCCCTCCTAATTTTGTTGTCCTCAGAAGGGTGACTTCTGGAATCTATTTAAAAGCCAATTAAGTTAAATCACCAAGGAAATTGTTTTTTCTTGCAGCCTAGCTGTAAAGGACTTTCAGGTACACAAACCAGTGTATAACAAGAAAAATATGCTTTGCAGCTGTATTGTTGTTTTTTGTGCATTTTAAGTGAGGGCTGTAGAGGGGCATGTTCTTTATCTGTAGCACTTGCAAAAAAAGTAATGTATTTCAGCTACTCATAGTGCAGGCGTGCAGCCTGGGAGCCATGGCAAAAGAAAACTTACACGTTCCCCAAATTACTGAAAAATACAGACTATTGTAGTGCCTGCAGCCTGACGAACACACAGGTCTACCTCCTCATTTAAAATTGATGGAGTGCCCAAAGAACTGGCTAGGAACACTTCCAGCTTATTTGGGAGATTTTGGACTAGACTGTCAAGGTGTGTAATTTAGTCAAGTGCCTACATCTGTTTACAAACAAAAACCTTTTTGAGCTACCTTAATATGTAATGGCATTTATGGTGCTAGTGTCCTTTCTCAAAGACATCTCTGATGTCTCCCCAGGCAAAGTCTCCTGAACTTTCTATGCTTCTCTTGACCTCTCCTTGGTTACAAGCCCCTGTCTGTGGTGAAGCCTCACCTCTTCTGCCCCAGTCTCTGCAACAATGTCCTGTGGCTCCCTTGGACTCTCTTGACTGTGCTGGCTCCCCTCCTCTGCTCTGTATTGTTGCTTACTGAATAGACTTGCTCAGCAGAGTTTTCATAAGGAAAACAAAATGAGGTAGTCATGGATGACCAACACCAGCTTTTCCTTTTAACTCAATCATAAAGCACTTTTGGCTTACTGGTTTGGTTTCTGCTGTCTATAAAAATGTTTTGTGCAAGAAGTCCCCTTTTTCCCATCGCCCTGCGTGACAGCAGTGCCAAGATGACCTTCTGCTGGAAAGTCTCATTGCTCAGTTGTGTCGCTGCTCAGTATGAGTTTCCCTGGCAACCAGTTTGAGCTGCACTGAACCAAAAATATCTCACTGTGCTGGGGGAAAGTCAGTTTGCAGACATGTGTTTTTCTTTAATGACTTCTCTGGATGGTACATGTGTTCAGCCTGCAGATGTCATTATTGGAACCAGCAACTGGGAGATGTGGTGTGCCCCTTTTCCTTACTCCCATAGGCAGCGAGGCCTGCAAGAAGGCTACCCTTGTGTGATTGTCAACTGAGTTGTGACTGTAAGACCCATCATACTTATTTTTCATGGTACACAGTGGGTCTTGTCTTCTGCTGAGAATGGTCTGTGCAGCAGACACAAAGTCTTCCTTGAATTCCTTGGATCTCTGCAAATTACAGGATTATGTAATCACAGAATGGGTAAGGTTGGAAGGGACTAACCTTGCCATGTTGTTACTAACAGCTTTGTCCTTCTCATTTCTGGTGCATTTCATATATGCACCTTGATTTATAGGTGAGCACACAATGAGCTCCAGTTTTGCTGCCGTCTCAGTCTTCAGAGGCACAGTTTGTGACATCTCCAATTGAACACATGTATAAATCTTTGGAGGTCAGGACCCAGCAATTTGCACACAAGAGAATGCACAGACTGGAGGTGTTATTTCAAACCTTCCTAATTCAGTTCCTGCAGATAATCTTTTCACTAATTTATGTAGAACACTGGTGTGAAGAAAAGCATTAGTAATTCCAGATGTGTTCTCAAGGTGACAAAATTAGAGGAGATTAAATTTGAAAGTAGTATGCCATTTTTAGTAACAGGTTCCCTTTTCTGGATTTGTAGGGTGTGAGGATTGTGGTAGAAGCCTTGTAGGAGAATGCAAACTCCACGGACCACTCATCAGGGCTAAAGATAGGGTTATTCCCAGCCGAGCCCGTCTCACCCTACCTCACTACCTCACTTTGCGAGTGTTGGAGCTGCGAGCTGGAAACCAGCAGAGTAAGTATTTTAGCTCTTTTTCCCACATTTGAGAAAGAGGAGGCAAAATTACTAGCACTGGCTTGTTTTCATGAGGCGTAATCATTGGGCATTAGCAGTATGAAGACTGCTTTATTTTCAGCTGGGCACAGCTAAAGCTCACAGTCAGCTACTGTTTTTTATGACTGATTTCTACTAACTTAGAAGCACAGACTGATGGCAGGACATTAGCCAGAACTGGTGTGACATTTAGCTGTGAGCAACCAGCTAGCTCTGTTCAGTCAATTCAAGTTTAATGAATGTTGAATTTGTATCTAATAGTAACAGCCATGCACTATTACATTTTTTTAACCCCAAGCGTGTAAAACAGGAAAGAGTACTCAATAAAAAGAAACAAAATGGTAAATGATATCACTCATCCACCCCCTGCAAACGCAAAAGATCACAGTGGGGTAATTTACATTTTGCAGCATCTTGAGTTCATCCTTTCGAAAGACTGTTGTTTCCTTCTGAAGGCAAGGCAATTCAAATGCCCAGACTCGAACAAGGAAAAGATGTCCTTAGTGCACAAATTTTCCACAGGTACCTGTGTAAAAGTAGTCCTGCCTAGATTGCATTTCAGAGAGAGAATGACAAGGTGTCTATTCTGCCACTCCATTGATATATGAGTGTTGCAGGATAATGTTATGTTTTTATAGATCCTCTCCACTCATATCGGGAGAGAACAACCTCTCAGATTATGCCAACAAGGAGAGCACTATGATAACATCAGTGTGTAGATTGAAGAGTAGCTACACAATTGTGTTGCATACTCAGTTTAATGTCCTGTCATGGACTTTAGGCACTTTTGCATTCAATGCAGTACCCATTTAAAAAAAAAAAATATCAGTACCTATTTACATCCTTTTTAGATTCTTCACATTAGGGCTTACTTGTCTAGAAGAAGAATCTATGTGTTCTGCAGTGTTTGTTTATCTCCATTTTCACAGCTATAAATGTATAGGAAATAGTTTGTGATGTCTATATTAATATTAGATTGGTCTCTCTTTGTTCACAGTCCTTGGTGTATTTGCAAAGAAAGTAATACAGAAGAGAACACAGTTTGGTCCTTATGTTGGTCAACTGTCTACAAAACTGACCTGCTATGATGAGAGCAGGCTAGTCCTGCAGGTAAAAACCCACTGACATTCTATGAAGTGCGTATATGTCTTTAGCAGTTCATGTGTATTTATGTATTTTAGTCAGTCAATTTGCCAACTGATCTAGTTAATTAACTGTGCTTTTGATCTGTAAGTATGAGTGTAAATCACATTATTAGGCAATACAGCATAACCTGAAGTACTAATATGTTCCTGTATGTTGTTGTGATGGTTTCACTCTAGGCCTTCCTGGAGACCAGCTTGTAACCTTGTTTTCTAGAATTTTGCTTTTCTGCTTTCTAGTTTTACCATTTTCAGAATGTTGGACTTCTCAGTCTAACAGCTCTTAATAAACTTTTCACAGAGCCTGGCTACTGAACTGTCTTCCCAGATAACACAAAAGGATTTGTGCTTTACACCATGCCACTGGGAGGTTTGAGTTTGTGCACTGGATTAGAGATGATGGCAGAAATACGCACTAAGGCACTTGCTTAGTAGGGAGGAACAGTGCAGGGATGGGAAACATTTCTTAATAATGTGTTTATATTATATATAAAGTTTGACACACAGTGCACTACTCAGTTTATGTAGTCAGATTGTTTTTTAGTGCTGGTACCATCTGTTGCTGCACACACAGATTCTAATCATCTCATCTGGACCATGACATTATTGTTCACACTTTATGCAGCAAAAATAGTGGCCTCACAGGACTGGCCTAGCTTAGACGTGCACATCCTTTACCACAGGAATTCCTTGGGAGCGATAGCTGATTGTAATCCTCTAGGTTCCAATCTTTGCATTTTGCTGCATGGGGTCATGCCTGAGCACACGTCTTGTCATACAGCGAGTCCATGGTCAAGTCACAGCCTCTGTCAGGACTTCCCAACAGGTCACGGTTCTTCCAGAGTTTGTACTTCATATCAGGCCCTCTCACCCCCCAGTAGAGAGACACTGGCAGCAGCTGTCCTGTGATACACTTTATGTCTTTGTACGAGCTTTCTCCAGAAGCTCAGGGCTAGAAAACAGTGTATTGTGAAGAAAATACTTCCATAATTCTGTTTGAGAGCAAAAGTAATAGCTTCAGTAGTTGCCGTAAACTTCATTAGCACATGGAAGTCATGGGAATGATCTGCCAGGAGAATAACACTGCCAGGAGAATAATCTGTGCGTTTTTCATGTCATATTGTCACCAGAAAGGGTTTACTCTTCTCCATAACTAAGTTTCTTCAGTTTTTTTATGAGACACTTTAATTCTTACAAATGCAGAAAACGTACTTCTCTAACAATGGATGGATGAGCTAAGCACCCAGTTCCTTCCTCTTCACCAAACCATTGTAAACCACACCCTATCCTCTATCACTCAGCACCGTTTGCTTAAAAGTATACAGTGATAAGCACAGCTCTGGCTGATGAATGGACTGTTTCTTCAGAAGAGGAGATTAGAGTCCCAGATTTCCTACATGACAGCAATAGCTGCCTTGACTTCTCCCTAGCATGAGTATGTGACCGAACTTGTCCAACAGGCAGGTGTTTTCATCGGAAATGTGATGCAGTTAGATAAAATAGTTCCCAGAAGCAATAAAAATGCAACTTTTTTTTGCAATTAATTACTCAGTTATATGACTAGTAGAACAGATATATGCTGTGCTCACATCTGTTGTGCAGCTTCGTTGGTCAATGTTTGAGACACTATTGCAGAAAAGCAACTGTTTTGTTGGAAGACAATAGTATTTACCTCACAGAGGCATCTTCTTGGAAGGGAATCTGGGAAGAATGAAGTAAAGCAAGAAGAAAGAGATCTTTCTGGCACAGTTGTTCATTTTATTTACTTTTGCTTGTTAAGGGGAAAAGGACAAGACTGTTAAAATGCCATTATATTGTATGTTACCTCTCTGAACTTATTACACAAGTTATACAATTGTTCCATGAAAAATGTAGCAGCGCTGAAGTTTGAGATTATCAAGTACTCAGGAAGTAGATTAAGGCATAAAGCTTATCTTTCTACCTGCCTGCACTTAGTTCTTATAATATTATCTCTATATAACATAAAAATGATGAAATATAAACTGGAAGTACATACAAAGCCCTACAGTTATTTTAGTAGCAGGGTGCTCAGCAGGTATTCGTTGGTCACTTTCTTTTGCAGTTAGTATTCTTTAGGAGTGATCTATTTCAAAACAACCACAATTTCAAAGGACATATGAGCAAGACAGGGTAAATAACTGATACCTGTGACTCCAAGTTAAAAAAACTAATGTGCTTCTATGCGGGACTTGGTTTTATCATGCTCATTCTTCCCCTTTGTTTCAGGTATTGAAAGATGGAGGGAAGTACTTTCTGGACACTCCCAATGAAGACTGTGGAAACTGGATGATGTTTGTCCGGCTAGCCCGGAACCAAGAAGAACAGACCCTTGTGGCTTATCAGCACTGTGGAGAAGTTTACTTCACAACAGTTAAGGTAGTTAAACTGACATTGCTTCACCTGTCATCCAAATGGAAATGTATAAGGAAAGGTTCTGAAAGACCAACTCTTTTAAAGATGAAAGATTGATTATATTCTGCCAACTGGATCTTTATTGCACACTACCTTTTATATCACTTAATCCATTGTAAAGCAAGCAGTGTATGGGGTTTTTCAGGAAAGGTGGTGTGTACCTGCTGTTGTGGGTAGTGAAGAAACTGAGCAGAGGGAAACATAAAAATCATTCCTGATGGTGGTGTTTAAACTGCATTTAGTAAAGTTTCTCAGTTCCAGATAGGTACATGGTAAGATTATCTAGCCTTGTTACATTTGACAGTACTTCATTCTGGAAATAACAAATTTCCTTTGCTTTATTGCAGTTTTGGACATGTAGTGTTTTCTGAGCACATTACCATGTGCTCAGGAACAGGGTGTTAAGCAGAATCTTTATGTACTATTTTCCATGCTCATTAAATCTGAAGGCTTAACTGCATAACTAAGCAATAACTTAGCAACATGCAATGTTGCCATGAAATGATCAGTTTATGTTAGAGATTGTGGACTGCATCTTCATCTGTGGAGAGAGAACAAAGTGGTCTCTATTTATAAATGACACTGGAACATACAGTCTTTTTAGTTGTTTTGTCCACTTTCTCGGGCAAAGTTTGTTTTAATCAGAAATAACTTTCTTGCATACTTGGGAAACTGAAGTCTATCTGTTGAACGTAATGCTTGTGTATCATTGTGAACAACGTTAAAATGTGGAAAGAAAAAAAGGAGTGGATATTAGTCAAAAGAAGTTACTATGGAATTAAAATCCAGCTGAGAAGTAGTTGTTATGAACTGGCAACTTACAATTTCCAGTATAATTTAAGTACTATTGAACCAGCTCTCTGCTGACTTCAGCAGAACCCTGCTTATTGGCATTAATGGAGAGTTGTATCCTATATACTCACACAGAGTATCTTAGGGTTAGGCATGTGTCTTGGAACCTTTACTGTGCTGTGTATCATAGGGCATGACTTGGGTTTTATTTCTCCTGAATCACAGTATCATTCATGGTACTGTGTCATCCTGCAGATTTTGTCCTGGTCAGTGAAAGCAGTAGCACACCCTTCTTGTCATGCCATGAGGCTGCCTTAGGGCTGACTATGAAGATATTTTCTCAAGATATTTTTAATGAAGTATGTTAAGTTGGGGACAGGATCGGCTCCTTTCTCCACTGTTTTTACAAAAAAAAATAGGATTTTGGTGACATGAAACTATAACTACTAAAGCATACATGTAAGTGACATACTAACAGTACCATTAGCTGCCTTGTTGACCTAATGGCTGCAGCCTCTACTTTTAAAAGGTATACATTGTGAGAAAGTAAAAGTCATCCATGGTTGTTGTTTGATCCCAGGATAGTTTCACATGGGCACAGTAGTAGTTTTGTTTTATTCTCACAGATGGCACAGAATAAAAGACAACTTGTAGTGGATTTGGATACTGATGTTTGATGTCAGTTTTACTGAGATTAGAGCTCTTACCTTACTTGACAATTTCACACACTGATGCACTTGCCCTCCAAAGTCACATTGACCAGGTCTCAACTTCCCACAGGGAAGATAGTTGCTGGTCCTGTAATTTTGGGCGGAAGGTCACGACAGTGTCATGCTGCACAGTTGTTTGTGGGTACCAGTCTCAGGTGTCACTGGCCAAGGTCGTAGGACATCCTCAGACATTTGTACCTCTGAAGTTCCCCACAGCTTGGTTTTCTCCATTGAAATAGACTATGTGGAGGAGCACAGTGCATGATCAGCCTCGTAGTTGATGGCTCTGCCTCATGTCCTTAGTTGAGTGGAAAATTCAGCATGTACCATTTCTGTTTAGGCCAGGTGTTACCAAAACGCACAACCAACCCATACTGACTGTAGTTAGCAAGCAGGCTTCTGCTTGGGAGTCCAAAAATTCAGTTTTCAACATTATACACAAAATTATCCCTCACCTCTCAGCATTCACAATCTAAATTGTCTTTACCATGCTTATCCCACACCAATGTTATAAAATAAGTGCATTTTATGATGTCACATTTTGTAGAATAAACTCAGCTGCTCTCCTCTTGGGCTAGTTTTTTTTTTCAGTGACACAAGTTTAGCTTAGTTAAAATAAAACTACAAACTACAGTGCAGTTTGGCTCTACCCCTGTAGCAGCAGTGTTGGGTTTTATTATAGATGAAGAAAATTGTGTACAGGGTCAGGGAGTCATATAAATCATGACCCTAAAGTTTAGTTTTCTCCTTTGCTTTTAAAGAACTAACAGATCTTTAGCCAGTGAGTGTAATCACTCCTCTCTTTTATTTGCTGTTCTATTGACTGAAAGTATTTGTCAGAAGAGGTCATAGTCCAGTCCAAGGAAAGATTTGGGCAAGCATGACTGGATGGGAGACTGCAGATTATGGGCTCCCTTAATCCTGTTGGGGAAAGGCTTCAGTGGAAGGAGGGGAGAGTTACAATAAAGCACACGCTTAGTGAGCCTGACACATCAGAGCCAGCACATGGAAACATGCCAATTTGAGTGGCAGTCCACATATTGATCAGCTCTGCACCCATGCTCAGTGTGACATATCCAGCTTGGCATCCAAGCTGTTGTGCGTTCATGATGGTTTTTTCCTTTGTCTGTACCCTGCAGTTAAGTGTTGTGTCCAGTGGGCTTCCAGACATCAAGGAATGGGCATGGGATATTGCTTGGAAAGACTGCTGGATATCTGAACATCACAGACAAATACATCTCACTGAGCAAAGGTCATGAGGATTGAGGCATCCCTCCTGCTATTGCCCCTACCCCCCAAATCTCTGCACAATTCTGCTTTTAAGAACAGAAAGTGTTAAGCCCTAGTGGGTAATAATGCTCAAAAAGTGCTTGAATCTTGAAACTAAGTTACCAATAATTTAGACAGAGTCAAAGAGTGCAGCTTGAGTAAGGACAACAACTGGCACACCCCAGCCCCTCCAGTCTTCCATATTATTTGGTTTAGGAAAATAGGCACAAGTAAATATGTGCTAAATTTTTTCCATTCACAGCCAATTGAACCCCACACAGAACTGAAAGTATGGTATGCTGCCGATTACGCCAAGTTTATGGAAGCTTCCGCAGTCTTCATTAAAGAAGAATCAGATGTCTGTCCTTTGCCTCCAGCAGCAGTAAGTACCCCTAATCTGCATTCAGGCCATCACTATACATAGTAAATTGTAGTTTATTTACGTGCTTTCTCTGTTTATGTAACTCTGGTCATAGAAGGTTAGACTATAGATGAGTTGGCTAACACAAAGCCAAGAGCAGTTTTAACCAAACAACTACTCAGAGAAAGGCTGCTCTTCCTCTCCTATGTTTGTAATCCAATGGAGCCATTAGATGTAGTCAGAAATAAGAGGCACCGCTTGATGTATTGGGAAGACTAAACACTGGCACTAATTCATGCATAACCAAGCAGTCCAGCCTCAGACTTCTTTCACCATTTCCCCTTGTTATGCTCTGACCAATTGGTCGGATTATCCACAGATTATTTCAGTCTTTCCTGTGCAACAACCCTTCTCTTCTAATCCCAATACCTTCCCCTCTGATAGCAGAAGTCCTTAAACTGATAGGAAAAACTTGTTAAGTGTTGAAAACGTGGCTGTGAAAATTTGTACTCAAGCTAGAAGGAAATGTGAAACAGGGAATACAAATGAACTGGGAATTCATTCTTCAAGAAGGCATATGAGGCCTTCAGAGTGTGCCCCTAAGGAAGGTGTGAGAGAGCCACAGCATTAGACACGAGTAACAGAGAGGAGGGCTCAGTCTGGAAATAAAGATGGAGTGGACACAGCCTTACCATGCTCTCCAGAGCAAGCTAGCCCAGGAGCAAGGGAAAGTAAAGTCAGTTTATGAGAAGCTTACATAAAAGGTAGACACAGCTGAGGAAGTACATTGTCGTGTATTAATTGGAAGTACGTTTCATCAGCAATTGGAGTTTTTTTGTATTTGCTTTTCATTAGAAATTTTATAATGTCAGTATTTAAAGTGAATTCAACTGAATCCAATAGAGCTCTTATTTCCACAGAAATAATACTTCCAAATAATATACTGTATAAAGAAACCCCAAAAACCAGAAATAATTTAATACCTCTAATTCAGGATAAGCTTGAGATCCCTAAAACCAAAATGTTTCTTATTCGGTTAATGAAAATCTAATGCCAAATGTCAAGCTAAGTGAGGAAGTCTCTCCTGGAGACATTGACCATTGCTGTCTGGTGAAGCATGGAGTCCGTCCAAAACACAGGGAAATCCTGTATGGCTAAACTACATTAGTGTGCAGAAAGTCAGACATTTTTGTGAGGTTGCAATAGCAGATAAATTATGTCAGTCTAAAGTACAATTTTCAGCTTCTTTTATAAGTAATTTCATGAATGCAACAAATGTATAGACTTTGAAATTCAGTAAGCGCAGATAAACAAAGATGAAGGACTTAGGACTGTTACAGTAAATGCTAAACAAAACCATGTTAATCAGTATTTAGCCAATCTTTTTTTTCCTTCGAGTTTGTATTCTTAGAGAGAATCTTTTGTCAGTTGAACACCTGTGTGGTAGTACACAGAAGTTACATAGAAGTAACTATTGCCAAAGACAGTAATGGATGTGGGAAAGCCCAGGCGAAGATCGGTGAGAAGAATATGACCTTTCCTTAGAATGGCCAATAAGAAAGAACTGTTTCTATTCTCATTGCAGAAAGAGCCTGTAGACCCTTGGATATGCTCCAGTTGTGGAAGCACTTTTGCAACTTTTGCTCTGCTGGAATCTCACCAGTGCATCCATAAAGACCGAGTCCTTCCTACGAGGTTCAGACCACCAAATAAATTGGGACCTGTAAAAGCAAAAAGCAAACTCAAAGGGAAACTGAGAGGAGCGACATTAGGCAAAAGCATTACTCAGTGCTTTGGGACCATTTCCTGTTCCTCTGCTGCAAAGTTTAGCTGTGCCAGCTCAGGAAGCACTTGTGATGCTCTCGTGAGGTTTATACCTAAATGGAGAAATGGTCGGTCTTCACTGTTGAAGGGAAAAGAAGTGAAGCAGCCAGACAGTTACCCTTGCCGACTCTGTGGGAAGATATTTGATTCCTTTGACAAGCTCACCGTCCACACTTACACGCACAAAGGGGAGCGCCCCTACAAGTGTTCACAGCACGGATGCACAAAAGCCTTCATTTCCAAATATAAACTGCTCAGGTACAGCTCTGAAGGCATTCCTTTTCTGCTGGATGTGAGGGGTGTTCTAGTGACAGTTAATCCCTGAGTTCCAGGTTTTATTATTCTTGTTTGGGTAGAATTGGAGAAAACTAGTCTCCCTTAATTGTGGTGGCTGCTCAAAAAGACTGTGTTGAGCAGTTTTAACCTACTCTATGATTGATGATTAAAACCTTTCCCCCCAAAAAAAATTTTAGGGTTTTACTAATAACCTGGGAACTTGAAAAAAGGCCTTCCTTCAAGGATGCCGGTGTTTTCAAGTCTTGAATCTGCGAGAGTAAATGTACTAGAATAAATGTAAACACAAATAACTTTTTTGTGTGTGTGTTCTGTTTTTTTGTCCTAGGCACTCTGCTACTCATTCTCCACAGAAGTCTCACCAGTGTGGCTACTGTGAAAAGACCTTTCACAGGAAAGACCATCTAAAGAATCACCTTCAGACTCATGACCCTAACAAGATGGCCTTCAAGTGTGAAGAGTGTGGCAAGAAGTACAACACCAAGCTAGGCTATAAGAGACACTTGGCTCTTCACGCTGCCACCAGTGGGGACCTTACCTGTAGGGTATGTGCCCAAGAGTTTGGCGGTACTGAGGTTCTGTTGGAACATCTCAAAAGTCATGCAGGGAAACCAGCTGGCAATATGAAGGAAAAGAAACATAAATGTGACCACTGTGAGCGTCACTTCTATACCCGCAAAGATGTGCGGCGTCACATGGTGGTTCACACAGGCTGTAAAGACTTTCTGTGTCAGTTTTGTGCCCAAAGGTTTGGGCGGAAGGACCACTTGACACGCCATACCAGGAAGACTCATCCACAGGAACTGCTAAAGAGCAGGTTGCAGAACAGTGACTCAGTGGGTCTCCTTGACCAGCTTTTCCCATACAGACTGAAAGAAGATGCCAGCATGCTGTCCCCTCTTCCTGAAAGGGTCTCTGTGCAGAATGGTATTGTGAATAGTTCAGAATCAGAGGAATACAACTGTTCACATCTTCATTCCCAGCCAAGCTTACAAACTGCTCTTCCTCTTGAACCTTCTCCTCACTTGCAAAGGATGGGCTGTGCAGACAGCCTTCCAGCTGTCCATCCCACACCATGTTCAACAGCCGTCCCTACCAACCTGAACCTTCATCAGCCTAATAAATATGACCTTAGTTCTACCTCACTTGCAGCAGGATCCCTCAAGAATCTGCCAATAAAAGTGGATGTTAAAGGTTACAATGTGCATCTTCTCGAGGACCTGCCGTTACCAGAACCTCAGTCTCTTCACAAAATCAGTATGGAAGAAGCTTCCTCAGGGCCTGTAGGGGATACTAACAAGTACCCAGTGCACAAAGAGACAGAGGCAGCAACTGAAACTACAAGTCTGCCTTTCATGGATCTCACTCATGTGATGAGTTTCTGGCAGCTCCCACCAGGGGACAACCAGAACACTATTGGGGACTTCACAATGGCATTTGGCCCAGAGGAACCATCCCACAGGCTGAATGGCCTTGGCCAACAGCAAGGTCTTCAGCTAGCAACTGGTGGGATGGCCCTAAACCAGCTGCATCATTTTCCTCGCTCCTTTCCATCCACTACAAATTCTGTAACCTTGCCTCATTTTCACCATGCCTTCAAGTAACTATCACCCTCTGTGGGGTTTTTTCCCTTTTTTTTTTTTTTAAGACTGTGCTTCTTACTTAAATCTGTTAGGATGGGGTGGTTTTGGTTTTGTTTTTAAGGAAAACTGCTCCAAATGTTTTCAAAGCACATTATGAACATGGTAGTTAAATTCAGGATGTTAATAAATAAGAAGCTCTATTTTTCATACTACTATTAGTTTTTTTAGCATATGACAACAGTAGAACTAACATATTTCCCTCAGCTCCCTCTATATTTTTGTTGTTACCTTTCATGCGAACAACTGAATAAATATCTTCAACAATAGAAAAATATCACAACAGGCACAATAAAACTATGGCTGCTGCAGTAGCAGAAATAAGGTTAGAGTGAATGGGAAGAAGGGGGAAATCACAGAAAAATCATTTTAATGAGCCATAAATCACAGCAAATTTGTACACATGGCAAATGTAACAAACAGATTATCAACATCACATAGATTTCTGTTAAGCACTTAATTAATGAAGTTTATTAATCTTTAATTTAAATCAGAATCATTCCAAGAGTAAATCTTACCTCCTTGTTTCACTTTTTTCAAATGAAGATCATCACTATTATGATTACGTTTAACTAGATTTTGTTTTCTGACATGCAGTTCAGCTGTGTGCATCTCATGCCTTTTCCCTTGAGCTGGAAGTAACTATCACTTCTGAATGACTATGTAAGAACTGCTATCTTGTATATGTGCAGTTTTCAGAATGGAAAGTGAATTGTCTCAAAGGTTATAACAAAACTTTACTTTTCATTTAGAGCCGGATCTGCCAAGGTATCAGGCACTGCTTTCTCTCTCTCTCTAGTAAAGCACTTGAAGCATTTGATTAAATTTAAGCATTTTCTCCCACAGGGTCAACAGCTTGATTAATTTAACATTTAATAAAATATAATGCTTCCTACCTAAGAAGCCTTTATTCACCTTTTGTTGATAAAAATGGCCTTTCTTTAGTCTGGAAAATGATTATTAATTGTAACCATCTGAAACGTGGGCTTTCAGAAAGCAAACCCTGGCCCAGGGGTGCCTGTGCCCAAGCAGGACCTCTCTGTGGCCAGGGGCATATCCACGCACATAAGGGCTGTGGTGGTGAGCTGACACTGGGCCAGGGTCAAAAACGGGGTCAGAACCTGCCTCACAAGTGTCACCTGAAATTAGCGGGTGTGATAACAGTTCAGGCCATTTTAATCATGGGATTTTTCCTCAGTAGCACTGGGACAGCTACAGTTGGACTTCCAGCCTTTGTTTCTTCCAAACCAGAACCATGGGGACTTCCGTTTTGTTTCCTGGGGTAAATGGTCCATGAATATTTCCAGTTGACAGTTTGTTGGTGTGACAGTCCTAGCACCTGATGCATGAACAAGCAGAAATTGCAAAAATCACATTTCCTGATAGATGACATTATTAAAAAAAAAAACCAAACCAAAACCAACAATCAGACTCTTCACAATTTGGTTTCTTACCTAAACCATAGTTAAAAAGAATAATCCTGGCATTAGCGGATGATGCAGTGAGTAATGGATTCTGTTGCTGCTAAAACAGACACAAAAATTCTGAATCTGGGTAAATTCTCAAACCCCAAGAGCTACTCTCTCATTAAATCCAAAAAGAGTTCATAGTACCTAATGATCATTACAAATGTAGCGTGAAACATGCATGTTCTCTTCTCCCTCATTAATCACAGGAATATTTTCAGACAGGTTCAAATAAAAAATAGTTTTTAAGTTATTTCTGTTCTGGTGTTACTGAGCTACAATGACATTGTACAACTTCAATGATCTAATATTCTTAGAAGTTTATTGGTACTTGGATAAAGGAAAGGTTGTATTATTACAGTTCATGCAAGAATATGTTCTGCAGATACAATGCTGAGGGGTGTTTTTTGTTACAGAAATTTTTGGCATAAGGCAAACCAAAAGGAATCTTAAGATCATTTTTGTAATGACAACAGCAAGAGGAAGAGCAGGCACTGCATAGTCACACCCAGTTAAGAGTTATTTAAATTATGAGTTCCAGAACAGAGAAAAAGTTGTAATCAATGTTACATGCATATTCTACAGCTAGGCTCTTATTTTCCTCTGAACTTGGAAAGGTGTGTTTGTATTCACTTACTGCATTGTTTTCCTTGTTTGTACAAACTGTATTCACTTGTCTTCATCCAAACTTCTGTATGTACCTGTAAAAAAAAACCAAAAAACAACAACTAAACCACAACAAAAAAAACTACTCAATTTTGTAGCATTACCTGATCACATACACATTTTGTCATTTTGATTTGTGCTTTTGTAAGAGGTGTAAATAATTACTGAAGTCCTTGTCCTTGAATTAAAATGTGATGTTAAGAAGGAATCATTATGCAAACACTGAGCTAAAGTGGCACCCGCGTTCTTTCTGCTGCCTCTCAGCACTCTGTAGCAGAGTGCCTGAGCTCTGAGCTGTCAGAGGAGGTGCTGCTGCCTGAACTCAGCCTCTTCTGAAATACAGAATGATAAGCAGCTGTCACCAATGCATATCTAGCTATGGGTTAAAGACCAAGTCTCATTCAAATAGAATGAAAATTACCACTTTTGATGCATTTTAAAATGCTTAACAAAACATACAATGATGGTGTTGGCAAGTAAAACAGAGAAACAAACCTTAAACGTGTAGTACTGCAGCCTTTAACCTGTCAGCCCATTCAAGTTTCTTTTTCCAGATTCTTGACATCATAAATGTAGTGAAAGCTGAGCATGTCCCATCACAAAGGAAGGCAAGCTATTTCAAAAAGTTATATTTTAAATAAAATTGTTTTAAAATTCTCACAGCTGAAGAGATACCCCCAAGTCATCTAATACTGTAAGTAGGGCTGGACTTTCTCACCACTTTTGCTAGGGGGACCTCTGTGACCATTTTTGAGAGGCCTCCAGTAGTTGAAGCTGAAGAATACTTTGTTTCTAGGCAGACAAATATTTTGGGCTCAGTAGACCAGCCTGGTGTGGGCTTGAATATCACATTGCTTAAAGAGCAGTAGTTTCATTTTGGCAGGGGGCAGTGCCAAGAGAAAGGTGTGGAGACAGCAGCAAGCTCACCTGGGCTTACCTGTAGTGTCTGAGGGGATGGGGCTGCAGCAGGCAGGCAGGCAGGTCTGACTTCAGGCGGTGACAGGGGAGAGGGCAGCAAGAGCTACAGGACATCTCTGGTGGCACTGCCTTTGGCTCATGCAGGGCTGTGACACTGGCAGTGTGAGGAGAGGCAACCTCACGTACACTCGGGGTACAGTGGAGGAAAGCAGCAGCCCATGCAGTGTCCAGTCCTCCCTCCTCTGGCACAGCCAATTTCTCCTCTAAATGTGAGAGGAGAATCCAAGAGCAGAGAGCTGGCATGGAGAAGGGAAGGTAGACCATGGAATACCAGCTAAGAGATGAAAAAGAAAGATCTGGGATATCTTAGGACATTTTACCTCCCATCCTAATAGAGATAAAAATACTTTTTTATCTAAACTCTGCTTGAAATTCTGTAGAAGCAGAGCAGTATGTGGTGATAAAACAGAATTACTATAATCAAATGATACTAACAAATAACAAAATTTAGTAAACATTTGGTGTCATACAAAAACGTGTACTCATTTTGTGAAAGAAAAAAAGGCATGTAAACCTGCTGAAATAATGTCAAGAAGCTAAAATTATACTACATTGAACAAAAGACTGCACCCTCTATGTAAACACAAGTAGTTTTATTGCTAAGTTCCATCCTCTATCAGAAACAATGTTAATTTCTTTTTCCTTCTATTTTATTTACCAGCTTTTTCTCTTGGGACTTTCCATTTTCTTAATCAATGAGCTGCTGTGAATTCCAGAGAATTTTGCACTGCCAGTCTGAACTATGATGTTACATTCCATAAATTAATGATTGGTTCATTTCTTGCTAATGGAATTTTTAAAATTCTGTTCTTCAGTACACCGTTCCTGCCCTTATGTTTTTTGTAAGATACTAGAAACTAAGCTGTGAAATCAAACACTTTTGTACTCAGACAGAAAATAATTGGGGGATGCGCACAACAACAAATACAGTAAAACTTGCTCTAACTTTTGAGGATTCATTTATTTTTTTGTTAAAGAAAGCAACTGTGGTAACATTGCACAGGATAGTGGGGAATGTGTTTGGGTTTTTTTTCCCCTCTTCTTTCTGGATTTTAAGAAAGGCTAAGCAGCACTGCTTTAGTATATTGTGGATAATGTCATGCCTGCTGTTTCTAAGAGTCTAGCATAGGACTTATGTTTGCTTCAGTGTCATCCTTTCTGTATTTATCTAATCATTATTGGCTAAAGCCTAAGTAGAGTTTAATTAAACTCTGTAAAGTCTGATATTTCCTATTGTTGTGTCCAACTACTTTTTATCTTTGTTTACTTTTTAAGTATTTAATAGGTAAGAAAATTCCTTATGGATTTTAATGGAAAGCCTTAATGAAAATTATTAAGCTAAAAAAACCCTACATGCTGCATCATTGAAAATTTATGCAAGGTGATCCAAGGCTGACAGTGGATCAAGTGGCCAAAAAAATAAGGGTATGCCTCCACAATATTTCTGTCTTATTAATCAATTTCTAGAAGCAATTTAAGTGTTTAATGCAAGAATGAGGTTTGGGTTTAGTCTGAACTTAAAGTGCTTTGAAAAAGATGCACAGTATACACCACCATTTATCACATATCAATCACTATCATTAATCATTTTATTGTTTACTGAAAGATTCGATTAAATATTTACATGAAATTCCAGAACGTTCGCTTGTCTTGTTCAATGTATCAAAGCATTAGGGGAAAGGAAAAATAACATGGTACTGGATCTTTCTACATTTTGTTAAACCATTTAATGAACCCATGGTAATAGCAATCCCCTGCAGGCAATCATTTAATTAAATCTTGGCAACTAATACAAATACTCTCACAATCAATGAATTTCAGTTTGCTTATTTTATTGAACGTGGTAGCTGTAGAACTTCAGGCAGAAGTGGTACTGGAAAATTGTGTTGCTTGAGATCTTCCATAATGTGTTAGAAGAAAGCCTTAACACGTCCTCGCCAACCAGCCACTCTATCTTCTGTTGTCCATTTGCGGTCTAAAAGCAGCAACAAGCCATATACTTGCTATTTCTTATTATAGAAACAGTTTTTATATTTTACTCCATTTTATCTAAGAAAATTAAACCTCTATCCCTGGGAAGGTGATGGAGCAGCTCATCCTGAAAACCATTTCCAGGCAGATTAAGGATTTATTTACACCATTCAAAGCCAGTTTCTCACATCTGCTTTCTCAGCTAAAAAGTGCTCTTGAGTAGCACTGAAACTGATCCCTTGCCTGCACAGTGCTCTCTCTGTAAAGCACCTGGCAAAGCTCAAATTCTATAGAAAATGCAACAGCTGCCAACAGTCCAGCACCTGCAAGCTCACCCAAGCCAGGCCTTTCCACAGTTCCGCTGTGCTCTATTTTGGATGCCAGTGTGGATGCCTGTCCTGGGGACTGCTGGAGGCAATGGCTGTCCCAAGCCTCTGTAAACTGGCTGCAACTACAACCCCAGTGATACCTGGACTCGCCAGTATCCCTAGGGAAAAGAGGTGTCTCCTCCCCAAGCCTGCTAAGCCCCAGTTTTCAGAGTTCAGTGGCTAAACTTTTAAGAATGGTGATGGCATCAATAAGTCCCTGTTGCTGGTCTGCCAGACCCTGCATGGTAACCTTAAGAGTTATTATACTGTTAACACAGTCACAGGTAATCTGGGGAGTGGAGAACACCAGATGAGACTACTGGGTACTGACAGCAGTTTTTCCTGCAGCTGGTAAAGTCATGGAGGTAGGTGGAGCTCATAATAGCACCATGCCCATTGCACTTTTCCCCACAACTGAAGGTACCAGGCACTGACCAGCAGCAATCAAGCACAGCAAAACTGCACATAGAAGACCCCTGCAATGACTTGGAATGTGAGACTCTGTTTTGTGCACATTTCTCTTCATCCCATGCTCCAAGCACTCTCAAAAGCTCATCTCCCAGGCTCAAAATACCTTGCCAGCTATAAGGAATAATTCTTGGCTACATTTCCTGCTGGGATCTCATATTCTGCCGTTGTATACATGTCACAGGGGTGCAAGATGCTGATCACCTGAGCCATCCCCTGGAGCAATAGCACCACGACCAACTCAAACAGGAGCTGGAGGCCTTCTTGCTGCTCTGACATGGCTTTGCATGGCCCAAAACAGGAACCCCACTGACTGCATGGTCTGAGGAGCAGAAGCCCAAACATCATGTTCTGGGAAATTGTAAGAGCACAAGATCTGTCAGAGAGGTTTGCATTATCGAGCAGCAAATCCTCTCAAGATGCCTGTTACAGCAGAGCACAGCCACAGCCTACCCCAGATAGGGCTGTTCCAAAAGAAAGAACATTTAATTCCAAAATTAATTTCTCAGCAGCCTACACTGGGGGCCTGAGGAGCTCCACAAAAGTTTCAGTACAACTAATTGCTTCAAATAATACAAAGAAGCTCATACTGCCAATACTGCAACAGGATATATTGAAAAACACCTGAAAGACAATGCTGTCATTGGTCACAGCCAGCATGGCTTCATGAGAGGAAAATCCTGCTTATCAAACCTGAATTTCCTTTTATGACAAGGTAATGCACCTACTTGATCAAGGGAAGCCTGTTGATGTCATCTTTTTGGATTTCAGTAAAGCTTTCAATACTGTCTCTCACAGGATCCTTCTGGTCTAAATGTTCAGCACACAGCAGCATAAACACATCATGTGGTGGGTGAGCAATTGGCTCACGGGTTGAGCACAGAGGGTAATATGAATGGGGTGACACCAGACTGGTGACCTGTCACTAGTGGGGTTCCACAGGGCTCCGTCTTGGGCCCTGTGCTCTTCAACATCTCCATAAATGATTTGGATGCAGGACTGGAAGGGATACTGAGCAAGTTTGCAGAAGACACAAAACTGGGAGGAGCTGTTGACTCTCAGAGGCAGGGAGGCCCTTCAGAGAGACCTTGACAAATCAGAAGACTGGGCAGTCACCAACCATATGAAGTTTAACAGGGGAAAGTGCTGGATTCTGCACCTGGGACGGGGCAACCCTGGATGTACGTACAGACTGGGGAATGAGGTGCTAGAAAGCAGTGCCATGGAAAGGAACCTGGGGGTCCTGGTCAGTGGCGAGTTGAATATGAGTCAGCAGTGCCCTGGCAGCCAGGAGGGCCAACTGTGTCCCGGGGACATCAGGCAAAGCATCGCCAACCAGTTGAGGGAGAGGATTGTCTCGCTCTGCCCTGCAGTGGTGCGGCCTCACCTTGAATATGGTGTGCAGTTTTGGGCACCACAATATAAGAAAGATATTAAGCTGTTAGAGAGCATCCAAAGGAGGGCAACAAAGATGGTGAAGGGCCTCGAGGGGAAGCTGTATGAGGAGCAGCTGAGGTCACTTGGCCTGTTCAGCTGGAGAAGAGGAGACTGAGGGGAGACCTCGTTGCAGTCTACAACTTCCTTGTGAGGGGAAGAGGAGGGGCAGGCACTGATCTCTTCTCTGTGGTGACCAGTGACAGGAACCAAGAGAATGGCCTGAAGTTGTGTCAGGGGAGGTTTAGGTTGGATATTAGAAAAATGTTCTTCACCCAGAGGGTGGTTGGGTGCTGGAACAGGCTCCTCAGGGAAGTGGTCACAGCACCAAGCCTGACAGCATTCAGGAAGTGTTTGGACAATGCTCTCAGGCACATGGTGTGACTGTTGGGGATGGTCCTGTGCAAGGCCAGGAGCTGGACTTTGATGATCCTTGTGGGTCCCTTCCATCTCAGCATATTCTGTGCTTCTGTGATTCTGTGATATGGTGTATCGCAAAAGCAATCAGGGTCCTTTTATGTGATAACGTTGAAATACAAAAAAAAAATTCTTACCCAAACTTTCCTGAAGAATTTTTCCCAGTAGATACACCCCAAGATTTTGCAGTTTTCTTCAGTATTTCTAAAGAGGTCTCTGCAGATCATTATTTAAAAAAATTATTGGCCATAAAACATGATAAACTACATAAATTCAACACAAACTCCAGAAATGTAGGGATCAAAGATACTGATACAAAGAGCAGTTTGTATTATCAGTCACATGTTATACTACAAATAACCTTTAAAATACTTTATAAAACATCTTCTAAACATAGACTGAGTATGAGTCGTGATTAATCAGTAGCAATGGGGTCTAGAAAACACATTATATAGAGGGAACTGTTTTAGGGAAGTGGTGGTATTACTTTTAAGGCTAAATCAACAAGGGCAAAGTCATATGGAACAAATAACATACTCTTCATACTTCAGCTAAATGGACCTAAGAAAAGGTAAAAATGATGGAATAAATCTTAAAATTGAAGATTAAAGGTTATGGAGTCCTTTATGGGACAGAATAAACCTCAAACAAAGACTGTATATTTTAGGTCTATAGAAATACTTCTGTTTGAGAACCTCTAAATGAAAACAATAAGGCCCTCCTGAGCACCCAAATGAAAACCTCTGGGCATACACTCCACACAGTGGAGCAGGATAATGACCAGGAAAGCCATTCAATATCAACAACATCCACTTGGAAATTTTTGACCCTGTATGGAAATGAGTTTAGGTTTTCATGTCAAGACTTTAAAAAAAACCCACAGAAAGTCAAAATTTATAATTCAACATTATTCTATCAGAAAACTGGATTCCAAAGCCTATGATCTGCTTTAAAAATGCCTCGCTCACCTCAAATACATCAGAGTTTGTTACAAGAAAGACATAAATATGACTAAACTCTACCTAGGGTAGGTTTGTCTGTGTTGGCACCTTTTTGTACTCTCTCCAGAAGCGATAACACAGCAGGTGTTAATGTTGGAGTTTTTCTCTGAGTCAATGGCTGCTTGTCCTAGTAAAAGAAGATGCACAATCACCACTCAACTCCAGCAAGGAACTTACGGAGCCCAGTGAAAACTCTCCAAATCACTGTTGAAGCACTGCTAGAAGGAACAGGAAAAAGGTCCACCCTCTCTCACTTGAAAGTCATTTTTCATGCCCAAAATAGGTGAAAGAGTAATAATATTTTCAAATATCTTTAACAAAACAAACAAACAAACAAAACCCCAGTACCCTCCTAAAGGAACAGATTACAGTATTCTTTTTTCTATAACAAAACAAATTCTCACTTCAAGACACTGATGATTACCTTCACTTTTCTGATCCCTCAAAGGGGCTCAGCCCTTTGGCCTTGTGTCTAAAGACAAGGGAACAGCAGACCTTCCAACAGCAGGGAGCCCTAATGGACAGGAAGAGCTTTCTCCGTGTATTGCAAAAGTTGCCAGTTTTCTGCTTCCCTAAAGCAGAACTACCTGGAATTACCCTGGAATCCAATTGCAGAAGAGCCTGAGGAAATTACTGTTCCAACTTTTTCATACTGTCATACTCTGTCATTTTTTCATCAGACGAAGGGCTCCAGTTATGGGCAACTCCCAGCTGATATTCAGCATGTACCTTGTTTAAAGAGTTTTATATTAATACAGGTCTTTACTCACCATGAACTAAAGCTTGGCAAATCTGCCTCCAGGACCACGCAAATGTGACTGTGTACTTACCGAAGCCTGTCCAGTGGTCTTTGCAGCATAGTAGACAGCTTGTTCTTCAGAAAACTCCATGTGCCTCTGGGCTGCAGCCTCACAAAACCTCTGTGAGCAGTGTGGACACTGAATATAGTCTGACCATAAGAAAGGAACAGCTTGTGTCACAGTTTATACAGTACAGGAGAAAAATTGTCCTGCTTTCCTGGAGCACTCAAGATGCAGTTCAAAACCTGGCTCCACCAGCAGGTAACCATGATGAGTTCCCATCAGCTCCCAAAGTACATACCTTGGAGAACTACAAAAACTTTCTCTAGAAAAACACTTGGGATCCTAAAATATGTGCTTATGGTATTAACCCAGCAAACAGTAATTGCTTTAAAAAATAAATCCCTGGAGATTAATAAAAGCAGATTTTATTATCTTTGTCCTATTCCTGGCCACCCCCAACCTCGTAATTAACAAGTCTGCAGGAACAGCATTATTCAAAAATTCCTAGCATAGACAAACCCAAAGATTTTAAGACTACTTTTGAAGACTGGTCATTAAGGTTGCTATTTTGTTGAGGTGGCAGCAACATCGACTGAGGTAAGTTTGTGGTTGAGGGTTAGATAGACCTGTACAGAGAGTTCCTGAGCCCAGGGACTCCTGAGCAGCAGGCCAGAGCCCTGTCCTGCAGGACATGGAAGCTCTCAGAAGCTCATCAGGCAAGGAGAGGGCATTGCCAGGAGGTTTAAATGGCTCCAGGGAGTGCGGTGCAGCAGTTGGTGCAGGCAGAGCTTGTAGGAGGGCACAGCCACCCTCCCAGCTCCTGAGGTAAGCCCACCTTACCTGTGGTTCTTCAACTGCCCAACTAGAATAGACCCAGAAATGGTGTACACATGGTCAGAAGCCATTGCTAGTAGGAGCGTGGCAACCCAGACAGAGTTCCACAAGAAGCACACAGCTTTACAGGTCTCTGGCAGCATGGAGTGTCTGAGCCTGGTGTTAAGTGCCGGAGGACAGTGGAAAAGACACCTGCATACAGTCTGAATTCATGGATGATCTGCTCTGCCTGGTGGCAGAGCTTAAAGAGGAGGTGGAGATGCTGAGGAGTATCAAAGAGTGTGAAAGAAAAATAAACCAGCGGAGTTGCATCCTTCCATCCCTGAGAGAAATGCAGAGAACGGAAGCTCAGCAAGTCAGAGGAGCCCTGCCCTCTTGCCATCAGGCAGAAGACATAAAAGGGGGGAGTGGAAACAAGTCCCTGCCTGGGGAGGTAGAAAAATCCTTTCCCGGCCTCCCTCACCTTTCCAGGAGACCTTACAGAATAGGTATGAGGCCCTGGAATTTGAGGGTCAGGCAGATGACAGTGAAGAAGAACGTCTTTCTGGGGGGATCTCCTAGATCAGTGCAGTCAACCAGACAGACTACAGCTACAGGTATTAAGAAAAAAAGAAGGGTAGTTGTAGGCGGTGACTCACTTTTGAGGAGAACTGTTGGTCCTGTATGCTGATCAGACCCATCCCACAGAGAAGTCTGCTGCTTCCCTGGGGTCCAGGTAAGGGATATTACAAGGAGACTCCCTGGAATAATTCTTCCCTCTGATTATTACCCGCTACTGGTTGTCCAGGCTGGCAGCAATAAGGTTGATAAGAAGGGTACTAGGGTAATCAAAAAGGACTTCAAGGCACTGGGCTGCCTGGTTGAAGGGACAGGAACACATGTGGCATTCTCCTCAGTTTCTTAGGTAGAAGGGATGAACACTGAAAGGAACAGGAAAACCCACACGATCAACAATTAGCTTATAGACTGGTGCCATCAGTGGAATTTTGTTTTTTCTTATCATGGGGCTATTTGTACGGCACCAGGCCTGCTGGAGACAGATGGGTTTCACCTGTCTAAAAGGGAAAAAAGGAATCAATCCAGTATGGGTAACAAACAGGAGAAACTGGTAGCCATTGTGCAGCAGGAAAGATACGACATAGTTGCCATCCCAGAAGTGTGGTGGGATAACTCATGTGACTGGAGTGCTGCAGTGGATGGTTATAAGATCTTCACAAGGGACAGGAGAAGAAGGAGAGACTGTGGGGTGGCTCTGTACATTAGGAAGTGTTTTGACTGCATAGAGCTTGAGGAAAGGACAATGAGGTTGAGTTCCTATGGGTGAGAATCAGGGGGAAGGCTAGCAAGGCACATATCCTGGTGGAAGTCTGTTATAAACCATCCAACCAGTATGAAGAGGTGGATGAACTGCTCTATAAGCAGCTGGTTGATATTTCACAATCACCAGTTTGTGGGAGACTTTGACCTGGTGGAAACTCAGAACAGCAAAGAGGAGGCAGTCTGGGAGGTTCCTGGAGTATGTGGAAGACAACTTCCAGTTGCAGCTGGGGGTGAGCCTACCAGGGGTGAGGCCCTGCTAGACCTGATGTTTACAAACAGTGAAGGGCTGGTGTGACATGTGGTGGTCAGAGGTGATCTTGGGCACGGCAACCACGATATCATAATTTTCAATAACTGGTGAAGTAAGGAGGGGCGTCAACAAAACCTCTGCCCAGGATTTCTGGAGGGCAGACATTAGCCTATTCAGGGCACCGGTTTAGAGAGTCTCTGGAGAAGCAATCATTAAAAACAAAGGGGTCCAGGAAGGCTGGACATGCTTTAAGAAAGAAATCTTGAAGGCACAGGAGCAGGCTGTCCCTATGTGCCAAAAGACAAGTCGGCAGGGAAGATTAGCCTGGCTGAGCATAGAGTTTTTGCAGGAACATAGGGAAAAAAAGAGGGTGTATTACCTTTGGAAAAAGGGGTAGGCAACTCAGAAAGTGTTTAAGGATGTCGTTAGGTCATGTAGAGAGAAGATTAGAAAGGCAAAAGCTCAGTTAGAACTTAACCTGGCCACTTGTGTTTTTATAAATACATTAATAACAAAGGGAGGGCCAAGGAAAACTTTCATTCTTTATTGGAGCCGGGTGGAATATAGCCACCAAAGATGAGGAACAGGTGGAGGTACTTAAGACCTTCTTTGCCTCAGTCTTCAGCAGTAAGACCGATTATCCCCTGGCCCCCTGCTGGTAAGCAAGGATGGGAAGCAGAACAGATACCCCATAATCCAGGAGGAAGTAGTTTGTGACCTGCTGAGCCACTTAGATGCTCATGAGTATGTAGGACCAGATGAGATTCATCCTAGGGTGAGGGAGCTGGAAGAAGCACTCTCCATCATTTATCATCAATCCTGGCTAAACAGGGAGTTCCCAGAAAACTGGAGGTTGGCTAATGTGATGCCCATCCCCAAGAGTGGCCGGAAGGAGGATGTGGGGAAGTACAGACCTTTCAGACTGACCTTGGTGCTGGAGAAGGTTATGAAGGAGATGCCATCACACAGCACGTACAGGACAACCAAGGGATCAGACCCAGCTTGCACAGGTGTAGAAAAGTCAGGTCCTGCCTAACCAACCTGATCTACTTTTATGGCCGGGTGACCCGCCTGGTGGATGAGGGAATGGTTGAAGATGTAGTCTACCTAGACTTCAGAAAAGCCTTTGACACCATTTCCCACAGCATACTCCTGGAAAAGCTGACAACCCACAGTTTGGACAGGAGCACTCTCTGCCAGGTTAAGAACTGGCTGGATGGCTGGGCCCAGAGAGTGCTAGGGAATGGTGCCACAAGTGAATGACCCACTGGCATTCAGTCACAAGTGGTGTCCCCAAGGAATCAGTGTTGGGTTCAGTCCTGTATAATATCTTTATGGATGATCTGTATGAGGGGATAGAATTTACCCATAGTAAATTTGTGGATGGCACCAAGCTGGGTCGGAGTGTTGATCTGCTGGAGGGTAGGAAGGCTCTACACAGGAATTTGGACAGGCTGGATCAATGGGATGAGACCAATGGTATGAATTTCAACAAGACCGAGTGCCAGGTCCTGCACTTTGGCCACAACAACCCCATGCAGCACTACAGGCTGGAGGAGTATGGTTGGAAAGTGGCCACGTGGAAAAGGACCTGGGGGTGCTGGTCAACAGCCAGCCAAGAGGGTCAATGACATCCTGGCCTGTATCAGCAATGTTGTAGCCAGCAGGACCAGGGAAGTGATTCTTCCCTTGTACTCAACACTGGTGATGCCACGCCTCAAATCCTGTGTTCAGTTTTGGGCCTCTCACTTCAGGAAGGACATTGAGGTGTCAGAGTGTGTCCAGAGAGGGGTAACAGAGCTGGTGAACAGAATGGAGCACAAGTCCTGTGAGGAGCAGCTGAGGGCGAAGGGGTTGTTTAGCCTGAAGAAAAGGGGCTCAGGGAAGACCTTATTGCTCTCTACAACTACATGAAAGGAGATTGTAGCCAGGTGGGGGTCAGCCTCTTCTCCCACACAGTGAGGGACAGGACAAAAGGGTATTATTTAAGCTGCACAAGGGGAGGTTTAGGTTGGACATTAGGAAGAATTTCTTCACAGGAAGGGTGATTAGATGCTGGAATGGACTTCCCAGAGAGGTGGGGGGTCACCTGGAGGCATTTAACTGGATGTGGCACTTAACACCATGGTCTAATTGACATGGTGGTGTTGGGTCATAGGTTGGACTCTATGATCTCAGAGGTCTTTTAAAACCCAATTCATTCTGTGATTCTGTGATTTAGCAAACCACTGCTGAAGAAGTTGTGCCCCACCAGCTGAGGCACGTCTAAGAGCCAGGTTTCTGAGTGTGAAGCAGTATTGTGAAGAACACACAGTCGTGCTTTCTAAAGTCTTTTCTGACAGTTTTACAGTCCTGATTCTACTAAAAGCTATTCAGGGACACATGGCTGGTGCAGTACGACTCATTTCAATGAACAGTGTTCAGGGTCAGCACAGTCACAATTCAGCCATCACATTGCCCTTGCCATTCCCAGACCCTTTCTCCCTGTCCTGTGCCTTTTACAAAAGAAGTCCAAGTGTCCTTATTCTAATACTAAGGATATAGCAGCTTTAGAAACCCTTTTTCTCTGTAATAATACAGAAAAAATGGTGCAAGCAGCCATCAAAAGCCAGCTCCAGATCAACATCATGGGCATAATGGTTGTGAACACAGATGCCTGGCTTCAGGGGGCTGGTAGGGGCACCTGGAACTCCAGGGGAAAATGGGGAGGTTTTGGGCTCTGTTTGGAGAAGGATGAGAGGAAAAGGGAATATCTCTCTCCTTCCCAAAATCCATGTACTTTCTCTCCAGTCCTGTAATATGGGAATATATAGTCCTGTACTATAGGATATACACCCTCACTAGGCCACTCAGCAACTTGTCCTCCCTAAAAAGCAGTTATTTACTTCCTTTCTCCACAACTACTGCTGCTCTTGCAGAACTTGGATTCCTCCAATAAGGAGAAGGAAAGGGAGGGTCTGCTCTTAGAGTTGGTAAAGTTAGACAAGAAATAACAGAGTCATTAAAGAATTCAGCAGTGGAAATTCAGAGAGAAGTTTGACCCCAATCAAGGAAGGAAGAGGAGTCCTGCTGCTTATACTGCATCACCATCATCTAGGAGAGGAGAGAGGCTGGAATCATGGCAGATGCTTTTGCTATCAGTAATGAATTCCTACTCTGGAAGTGAGCCCAGAGAGCCCCCCGTCCCCCTCCTGCTCTCCACCTTCCTAACGCAGGCAGGACTCCACTGAGACCCTTTCCAAGATTGCTCCCACATTTTATAAATCACATTATCATGATATATTGGCTGTATGTACATCATTTTGGATCTGTAACTTGTAATACAGTGAGCTCTGTGCAGAGACCAAACCTGGTATTTGTAGTAAACCAGACCTGTCTTTTGCTAAATGACTTCCCCTGACTGCACAGCTGGGTGGGGAAGGAGACAGTGGAAAAGCCACCACGTGGGAGTGGGGAAGCCTGTGTGCAGTACAGTTGTTTTGAATGGCGAGAGGATGTATTTCACCCTCTGTTATATTGTAGTACAGCTATCCGGACTCTCCTCCCAAAGTGTTAATATCAAATCCCAAGCTTGCTGCCTTTAAACTTCAGAGGTACAGTTAGTTTTCTCTTCCTCCTCACTGCCTCTGTTTTGCACTCCTACACAATTATGGAGGGAATTAATGTTCACACTGTGTTGTGCCAGGGGTGCAAAACTGAAGCCCATCTGCGGTTAATAAGAGGTTACTGCTTTACCAAAGATCAGTCCAAGAACAGCAACAATATAAAGTAGACCACAAACCTGGATTCATTCTTGGCGGGGGAGGAGGTGGAAGAGGGTGGCCCTCCTTCAGAGCTTTTGTGACCTGCTTGGCTGATTGAAAAGTATTAACAAAATCCTCTGCTTCCAGTTAGATTTCTTCCCTAGTTGCTTCTGTAATGGAAATAAGAGAAGACACAAACCATACTTCTCTTGAGCAAGGGTTCTTCCTTTCTGAAGGAAAGAAAAAGTATTACAAAAAAAAGAAATTTGCTTTTTTTGAAAGGCATAGGAAAGCTGATTTAGACCTTCACTGTCTATTGACAGCACCAGAAGATGGATAAAAGAACAATGCACTTCAACAGAACACCCTGGTCATGGCAGACCAAAGAGCACTTAAGAGGGAATAGAAAAGACATTATGATCAACACCTTCCACTCTCCACTTGTCACATTCTTCTTGCTTTAAACCTTTGCACACTTCTGTTTCTTTCCACAACTGATTTTAAAGGACATTTTACAACAGCAGCATGGATACCAAATCAGCAATGATTTGGCATGTCTGGGTAAAATAATACATATGCATATCCATGTGTATTCCTCTCCTCCCCAACAAATATACTTCTTCCAGTAAAAGCTAAAGCATCTTTTCCTCCATCTCTGTAAATAAGTTCAATTTAAATACATTTTTAAACCCTTCAGTTCAATAGCAGTGAATCTCTGTAACTTAAGGGGCTACTGACAGCTCTCAGGTTCAACATGGGGCATTCATGCATCAACCATCTTGGATCATGCTCTCTTTCAGATTTAGGTGAAAATGAAGCTGTTAGACTCTCACATTGTCTTTAAAAGACATATTTTAACGTTTTTTAGAAGAGCAGAGATACTTACATACCCAGGGTAGTCATGACACCTATTGATTTGGCTTCTCAACAGAGAAATATTCCCAAACACTAGCAGCACAGGGAGGGGGAGGAAAGAATTTGGCACCCGGTCAAGCACATATGTGAGACTCATCCATAACATCCAGGCTTTGTCCTTGGAGGAAACAATAGTGTTACTGAATGAAAGACTTCATATGGAGATAACACACACACTTCAATTTTAGCTATAGCTTTTGTGGGGCCTGCTTCTTCACAGTGATGATTTCTGTTCCCTGCAGTCTCTGTTTCAAAATGCTGAAGGGCTTGCACTTTCCATTGAAGGCTTTCTTGCACATTGGATCATGTCTCAGCTGGGATACAAAGAAAAACATTTTTTAATGGGTTGGAGTCATGCTTTGTTAATGATGCTTCCTTATTCAGGCTTTGAAATTACTTATATTCAGGAGCAGGGAGCTGCAGCAGTATTTATTTTGGGTTCAGTTTAACTCCTTTAGGAGTTCATCAAAACTTAAAAAGCTGTCTAAGTACAGCTGCAGTTCAACACAAATAAGAAATAGAAGCCATTTCCAGTTGGTTCTGCTCAGGGACATGCTGGAGGCCAGTACAAATAATGACTTGCAGAAAAGAACAAACTGGGTCTGTGAACAGGAGCTCTCCTGTTGGACTCCTCCACCACACCTGGTTTTCTTTCTCTTTTCTTGGTTAAGAGGGAGAACAGTCTGACCCTATTCAAGTGGCCAAGATTTACATTATTAGTTCTCTGAGTTTAGATATGTGTTTCAGAGTGGGGGCTCCTCTGACAAACAGCAGTGCTTGTTAGAGCACTGAACCACCACTGAAATAGCCACAGCCCCAGGCTGAATCGGAGCAGCTGCTTACCAGCACCCATAACCTGACAGCACAGAAGGAAAACTAGGGATAGCACCTGCAGCTGGAAGCCGGGAAATTTTAGGTAGATAGATATCTAGTGCCAAATTTTAGCATCAACTTCACTTTTCTTTTTTTTTTTACTTATTAAGTAGCTGCCTGAGCAAGGCGTTATGGTTGCAGCTCAGCTGGACCAAAAAGCAACTCATTCTACTTCAACACATTTTGAAACTCTCATTTCCCTTTGAACCTTTTACTCATGTGCTTCAGGTCCTTAGCCTCTGTTTCTAGTCATTTTTCAAAGCAAACTCAAGAGGAATATTGCTCTGCAGGACCAAAAGAGCAGCAAATACCTATGCCTTGCCCACTAAGGAGCACAGCAGTCCTGCATCACTGGGGCACAGAGAGCCACTATAAGACTTGTGTTTCACACTAGTCACAGTGACAGGAAACTTCTCACCTCTCCCAAAACATAGATGTATCTCTTTTCAAACTGCTTTGCTAAATTAAACCATTCTGTTCTTCCTGTACCTGATCCGAGATACCAAACATGAAATGACCAATGCATAGTTGCACCTTTGTCTTGGCGCTCCACAGTCACTCAGATTCAAATGTATTGTTCTTGGATTTTTTTTTTCTTAAATCAGTTTTCAGTACTATTGCAGGGCTGATCTGATCTACCACAGAGACACAGATCAGTAACACAAACTGAGGAGCAGAGGGGTGCATGCAGAGCCCCACCCCTTGCAGAAAAAATGTGCAGTTGGGTGGTGCCAGGCAAACTGTGCAGCCACCCATTCAGTTTGTAATCCAGGGATCAGGGAGGTCAAGGGGAATCTTTTCATTCACTTCAGCAGGCTTTGGAACAGAGCCTGGTGCCCACATTATGCTGTCAAAGGGACTACTTATCAGATGGTTTATTAGTCTATTTTTCCCAAGAGGCCTCAAATAACAAATTCACCCTAAAAACCTGGAACAAATAGGAAGCTTCAGGTTAGTAATTTACGCTTCACCAAGAGAAAATACATTATTTTAAATTCAATATACAGGACATTTTTGGACATGGTTTTGGACAAGAAGGTAAATTAAGATAGCACAAGGCTGAAGATGAAGTCACAATATTTCTGTGCACATTGATTAATTCTCTAATCAAGTTCACTAATGAAAGCAGTTACTAGATAATTTGCTGTTTTAAATGTGTTCAACCCTCTTCTCTACTAGCAGTCACCTCCCTCCCCCTTCCCCAGTACTCACTACCCCTTTCAGCTGAATGCATTGACATTCCCATTAAAAAAAAAGATTTTTGTTTTACCAGAACATCTTGTACAGAATGTTTTCCACAGGTTGTAGGAGCCAGATCTTGACTTCAGGCAGCTGTGTAAAACGCAAACCATGCAAGAGTCTGTTACACAGTACAGGACAGCTTGACTATAGCAGAGTCGGCACTTGGACTGAGCCCTGGCTGAAACAGCACTTCATTGTCAGAAAGGGACATCTCCATAGAATCACAGAATATCCTGAATTGGAAAGGACTCACAAGGATTATCGAATCCAACCCTCCAGTTCCATGCCAGGGTTCCCTTTTGCAGAACTCCTTAGTTATCCCGTTCCTACTAAGCACAAGCCCTCCTTTACTACGATGGGCAGCATTCTGTTTTCCACATGACTGCTTAGGTATGTGCTTTCACAATGACATCACGGTTGGCTGAGGAGATGATGGAACAGTACCTAAGTTCATTGCTCCCTAAATTCAGGGAAGGGGGCTGGGAAGCAAGGACAGGCGATCTGCACCCAGATTTATTCATTTTGTTTGGAAGTCAGCAGGAGCTAATGACACCCTGTAATGGCTCAGGCTGAAGTGCTGCTATTTCAGAAGGTAGAAAGTGCCATGCAATGTGTGACATTATCTTCATTATTAAGGCGGAACATTTCCATGATATGCTAAACACCATTCCAAGATGATCTTACTTTGTAGATGTCAATTTTTTGGGGATGTTTGGTTTTAAATCAGTAATTTTTTGAAAAAATAGGTGTTAAAGTTACATGGAAAGTAGTTCTAGGCCCCTCTGACACCAAAGGCAGTCACTCTCATTTCAGAGCAGGGACGTGACTTTTATTAAACAGAAAGAGCCCTTAGGAAAACCTGAATAACACAGTCCTTTTCATTAGATTGGTAACCCTACAGAGGTACTTCTCTGAATTAACTTCTGTAAGGACTTCTCATTTAACTGTTCCTTACCTGCTCTTGCTAAAACAAAAGAAATCCTTGTCTTGCTAAAGCAGATGAGTGACTGCTTTTGTTTCTTACCTTTTCCTTAGGACTTTAACATACTCCAAGGCAGAGTTAACGTTACTACAGTGTTTCATTGATTACAAGTGCAGAGGAACAAATTAATTCTATAACTTTCAAACAAAGGCAAAAGAAAAAGTCAAAAATGTCTTTCCCCTTTTGTTCCCAATCAACAGGTGTGTCTGTCTTCCTCTGACTCCCCCACCTCTTTATTCTTTCTCATCCCCTCAAGGTTTTGACTGATAGAGGAGCTTTTTTTTTTTAGAAAAAAAGGACTTTGGGTACAAGCACAGTATCATTGAATCAGCAATGAGAAATCTAGCAAAGAACACATGCACTGTCCTTCTTGGTAAACCAGAAAATCACATTCCACCCAAACAACTGAACAGCATCTGTTACTCACTTGTTCCATTTAACTTCTTTCCTGGTATCTGACTCATCTCAACAGAACTGCTTCTCAGATTTCCTTTTCTGTGTTGTTGTCAGGAGTCACGAGTACTAGGTGGTCAGTATTCGTTACTCAAAAGCTCAGCATCCAAGTTACCACACAGTCAGCTATTACATTAGCAATTACGACATAGGCAGACCCTGCTTAAGCTTGTGAAACACATGAAAACTAGTACAGGTAAGGGAAACTAGCTAAAGGAAAACTCTGAAACTTTTTCCTAATCTTACAGATGATTTCTACTGATTCAGTTAACACAGACAATTCTAGAAAACAAAGGCTTAATCTAGATGTACATACTGTATTGACACTTTAGTTTCCTGAGCAGTGATCAAGAGACTTGTAGACTCAAATACCTCTTTATTCCCTCCTCCAAAATCATCTTACTTTACCAATTTATTATAAAAGTCTCCCTCCAGTAAAACCAAGTACTTTGAATTGTTTCTGTACATTAAACAGCCTCATCAGTCCCTCTGCAAGCTCGTCTCCATTTACTATTCACAAAACTATTTAAGGAATATTTCAGATGCTTTGAATTCAACAGTAGTCAGGCCACTCCACTGATGCGTTGGTTCCTTACAGTAAAATGGTTAACTTTTCACCTAAAGGCAGAAGACTGCTCAGTCTGTAGCCTAAGGACCTAAGCCTGAGGGTTTCTTATTAATACATAAGGATTTATGACTGACTACTAATACTATTCATTTCATTCCCACATAATGGACTGGTCACTATCAAGATAACTCACGTGCACAGTACAAACATTTAAGATCATACCAAGCCTCAATTCTGGTCGTCTGCTCATCTTCAAAAATTTGTGGTGGGTCTTGAGCTTGTATTTCAATGAAACCAAACTGAATGCAAGACCTGAGGAATAGTATTTCAGGAAAATCAAGACCATGACTATCTACATTTTCTAATTATCTACAACATTTTTCTAATTGCCACACTACTCAGAGTGAATACTTTCAGCAAAGCCAATTCCAATAGCAACTGTAAGGGGTCACTGACTACTCTAACTGCAACACTTGTTGAAACAGATTTTATTTGCCATGAAACATAAAAGTCAGGTTAGGTAACAGGGATGTCTAGCTACACAAGGGCTTTTCAGACACCTCTGCTTAGGAAAGGTTATTATACAGCTTTTGTAATAGTACCAAAACAACAAATAACCTACCCAAAAAAGAACCAAGGAGGAGTGGGTGAAAACTCCTTGACTTACAAAACTGTGCTATATCAAGGCACTATATTCAACCATCAGTATAAGGGAGAAAAGACATAAATTAAAATATTGCTATGTAAAATGAAATAATTTAATAGAAGAATCTAATGAGATCAAATCTGTAGGATTCTGCTGAATACATTCAACAAATATATATATATAAAAAACTCTGTTCAGCGTGTAACAAAAATATTTTTAATTATTTTAATACATTTATACTGTAATGAAACTTTGCAACAGTTGCCTTGCCATTCATGACAGAATAAACATCCCTAACACATTGTTTTATGTAGAATTTAATTTCAGAAAGAATAACAAGTTACTGTGGTCTTGTTACAGTGAGATCTGAACAACTCCCTTTAAGCAGGACTGGCAAGGTTCTTGAGTTGGCAGTTCCCTTTTCAATACAAATCAGAACTTAAGGATGTTTCCACAATAAGATTCTCAGTTTCAAGACAGCTTCAGTCCTTGAACGTTTTGTTTCAGATTGAGTAACTCTTTTTCTTGCCTCGTTTTCTCCAATTTGAAGGCAAGTTTGTTGGCTTTCTTCTCCATTCTGCGTTCCTATGCACATGAATAATTAGAAATTTACAAAATAGGAATTAACATGCAAAATCAAACAATTCTAATTAACTATTCTAGATCATGAGAACAAGAGCAATCTGGACAATATTATCATTTATGGCACTAATTAGCAGAAGTCAAATTAATATGTGTACCACCAGGATTAACATCTTAAGTTACCTGAAGCTTCTAATATGCTGGCTATTTCTGTTTCTAAGAAAAACAGCTAGTATTTAATTGTGGGCAATTAGATTTTCCATTTTTTTCCCACTATTCCATAGTTTCTTTCAGATACTTTTCACTTTATGTAATCTGAAACATCATAAATGTTTCCTTTGCTACTCTAGATTGTAAGGAAATCTGAAGTTCCTTCCTAAGTTTTATCTGCAGTAGTGGCCACAATAACAAACCCAAAGTTTTGACACTGGAAACCAGGATGACAAAATTATCTTAACTTTCTTTCTAATAGATTTTTTTTTTTAAGGAACAATAATTAGTCCTTTGAGACCAGCAAGTTTTTCCCACTACTTCCAGACATGAAAACAAGTGAGCTTTAAATAAAGTTCATAAAACAGATAATACAACATGGTTTTGCAAGGTCTTACTTAAAATAATAAGTACCTTTCGCTCCTCTTTTACTGCCTGTTTTCTAGCCTTGCGATCCTCTTTGCTCTCATCTTTGGAACGAGGTTGTGTTGATGCTTTTGGCAGGTCACTGCCATTAATCATTTGCATGCGTTCAACCTGCTTAGCGGTAAGACCTTTCTGAGGCAAGATATGCAGAGGAATTCCAGTCTTCTGAGAAATTTTTATTGGCTTGGGCTAAAATAGAGAGTGCATATGTATTAGTGGTCCCTACTTTTCTCTACAAGAAGTGCACATTGCACTGCATTAGCAGTATAAAAACGTTAGATTCAGATTTGACAGTAATTAACATGTGAGTTTCCTCACACTATTTTGTTCCTCCAGAAACATGCACATTAATCCCAAACTAAGAAACCAAATACATCTGTGAACAGAATCTAGCCTCCCAGAAAATGAAAAATGATTTTCCCTTTTATTTAAATATTACTGAAAAAAATAAAAGAACTTCAGTAGGCACTTAGTATTCCTTTATAAGCTTGCAAGAAAAAGGTTTCCTTTCAAACTTTGGAATATCGAGCTGTGCTCTAATGATGGGGAACATCTGGAAGGCCAAACAACTAGAATAAACTGTTTCAAACCGTAGAAAAAAATCCAAACTAATAGGTAGTTGTGAGACACGCATTATGCAAAGCTATATCATAGATAACAAAAAAGTGAATTCCTTGCTCTGTACGTTTCTGCCTAGCTATTACAGACATTTTGAACTGACTCAATTTTCCTTCTAATATAAAAAAATATATCCAAACCCTTCTTTAGTGAAGAAATAATACCAGAGGCTAACACCCTCCCCAACCCTCTTTTCTGCTCCTTCTTTTAAAGCAGATATTCATTGAGAAAAAAGCGCACATTTGTGTCAAGTTTTCCCAGTGCTATTAATTAGAATAAGTTTAATAATTTTACCTTTGATGGCTCCTTAATAAGGGTCGGATGATTATATAAGTTTGAATATGTACCTAGGGCACAAAGGAAAAAGAAAGCAGTGAAAAAGGGCTTGGAAAGAGAAACAAGGTAAGTTTATTATGAGTTGTACTACTACTTAGGCTTTGGAAATTCCTGCTGTTGTGCTCAGAGCACAAACTGTTTTACCTAAAGCACTGCTAGAAAAGTTCTGAGATCACCTATAACTTACTTTGAAGTCCTAGGAACAAACAAGCAAACTCCAAAATACTTACTCAAGATGGATTCACAATCCCACTTCTCTTT